GGGGATAACAATTGTCAATTGTCGGTTGCACAGACAAAAAGTGACACAAATAGTGTGAAGAACGGAAAAAAATCTTGCATACTTTCTCATTTATTGCATGAAGTTGGCTGCTTGGCAACCTTATTTCAGAAAGTTGCAAAAATTGTGACTGCAGCCACATCGAAAAGGTTTAAGGGGAATGAGGTTTCAGACCTGGTTCGGATGGATGGATGGATGGATGGATGGAAAACAAGAACAAATATCTGGATAACAAAGCATTAAAAAAAAGAAATCTCTTCATCCGTCTCGTCACTTGTTAAACAAGGCGACTGACTGGTTTTGAGACCTGATACCGTTTTTTTTTTTTCCAAAAGAACCTGTGTCAGCGTGGCTGCTTGAAAAGAGGGATAGGATATTTCAAAGCCTGTGAAATATGGACCATGCAGACTCCCAATGTCAAACTGTACATTAGCTTTAAAGGGACATTGTGTAACATTTTCAGTTGTTTATTGGCAAAAATTGATTTCTGCATTCATAAATATGTCATCACTGGTGTACTATTACCTTCACCAATAATCTGACTTATTCTTGTAAAAGGAGAATTTCGGATTTGTTTGTACATTGTGCGGGTAAGTCGTCTGTGGGGTTCCATTACGTTTCGCCATCTTGAGAATACACCCGCCAGCAAGGGACATACAGCACCGCCTTTGGCGTTTTCGTTGAGAGCCAGGCCAGCACTGCGTGACTGAGGAGCCAAAGGAGAGGAGCAAGAGGCGCTTCGCTACTACCCTGGCAAATTTGAAACAAAGTCCCACTCTTTGAGCATAATGCAGGATCATGCATATGCAGCATCATGGGAGACGGAATCCTTGTCGCCAAGAAAGCGCAAAAGGGAATAGAAAAGGCAGCGTGACCGGCGAATTAAAAAAACGAAGGCCCACATCGGGGTAGCCTTTCCCAGGTAGAGAGAGCTGCTGAGGGAGAATGGTAATGCAATCACAGGCCAGCGCCGCTGTTAGTGGCCAGTCGCTAACAGCCTCATCCCTCTCCTCGCATCACTGCGCCACTGTTAGCTGTTAGCCGCTGTTAGCCGCTGTTAGCGCTGGCCTGTGATTGTATTACCTTTCTCCTTCAGCAGCTCTCTCCACCTGGGAAAGGCAACCCCAATGCTGACCCTTGTTTTTTTAATTCGCCGGTCACGCTGCCTTTTTGATTCCCTTTTGCACTTTCTTGGTGACGAGGATTCCGTCTCCCGTGATGCTGCATAATACATGATCCTGCATTATGCTCAAAGAGTGGGACTTTGTTATGCGGCAGTAGTGCCGCTGGCCACTAACAGCTGTTAGCGGCGCAGTAATGCGAGGAGAGGGATGAGGTGTGTGAGGTTGAGCCACTTGTCAGTTGTCAAAGGACAAGACGTGATTGGTTTGTTTCAATTTACATCCGCCCCAACAGTCCTACGTTGTAAACACAGCCAGCATGGTGAGGAGGGGGTTTGTCAACTCGCGTCGCGTGTGTCTGTGTAGGAGCCTGAATGAATACTCCATGTGGTATTGGATGACATGGTTTCATCAGTGTTATCATAGCTTTTTGGTACACAGCGTCTACAGTTGTTGCAATACGTGTTTGAAACAGTGAGGCGCTAGAGTGCGCCATCTGTTTGAATACAATATATGATTTCAACGTTAGATGGGAGAAATTCCTACACACTGTGGCTTTAAATTCAACTCAGGGTCATCATCCATCACCGCTGTATCATCTCTCATCGTTTCACCTCTTTCTTTTATGTACTAGGTTATAAAGTAAAAAATTGGAATGATGGTAAAAGTGAATAATGTTTGGTCCAGCTTTGTAGTACCATTATTAAAATCCTTCACTTTGCAGCACTGAAAAATGAAGCCCAATGAAAAGTGAGCGGGATATTTCACACAAGTGAAGATGGAATAAGAAAACAGAGAGTAAAGGTGAAATATGAGGAGAAAACCCATGAATTAATGAGAAAGAGATACTGCGAGCAAAACCCAATGACCAGAGACAGAATAATTACTGTATGTGTGTTTTCTTGCTGGGCTGGCACTTGCCTGAGGCAGGTATCTGAAATCCAGGTGGCAGGCTGCCCTCCCTACTCCTCATCTTTCTCTTAAAGTCTCTATTTCATGGTCTAAATCAGTTAGTGCTCTCAAAACTTTATTGTGTAGCCTAGGAGCCACATGAGAAGAATCTAATACACTAAATGATTGCAATGACTGTTGGAGAGTTGAGGCAATTTATCTTCCAGACAGCTGAGTGTTTTTTTGAAAACAAAATTATTCATCCTGACTCAATACACCCCACCCATCAGGTGCTGGTTAAAAACAAAAAAATAAGGAAAATTTTGCAGCTGTCATTTGACCCAACAAACCTAAAAACATTAAGCTTTCCATTCAGACCAGATATTTAAAACCAGATTAGCACAGGATGGGAGAGTAAGCCGAGACGAAACTAAAGGAGTTGTAGGAGGAACACAAGGTTTGTGAGCAGGGTTGTGGGAGGAGCTGGAGAGGACACGTGAAAAACAGGAGGAAAAAAAGGGAAGGACCAAAAGACGAAGTTCAACTGAGGACGCTGTCCTCAAATCACCTCGCTGCTTTTGCAAAATTCTGCCTTGGAAAAAACTCAAAAGCATACTCACACAAGCAGAGACGCATTCTGCACAACTGCATTCACACACAAATTCATGACTTGCAAATGCGGACACCCACATGAATAGAAACGGATGAATTGCAGAGGGGGAAAAAAATAGAGAAGTTTAACAGAAGAAAGGAACTGGGGCGAAAGGGGAGATATAAATCTGTAAACTTATATAAATAGTTGGCAAGCATGCGTTATATTTTACGGTTATCACAAATCCATGAATGCATGCGTTATAGCAGTTGCTATTATACCCGCGACCTTGGCATTCTTAACTGCCACGTTCTACTGCTTTTTCCTCAGACACACTTTACTTTTTTTCTCTCCAGTTGGCCTCACTGTGGAACCATTTCCTGGTTGCGTTGCCAGAGACACACGGTCATTTCCTGCAGTTCCTTCCCCTGTCAGTTTGGCTTTCTAGAGGCTTAGCTACCGACAAACAGAGAAAACAGGTCACTGACGCATCCTGTATAAAAGCAGACTGGATTGGACTAGATTTAACTGCACCTGGGCTCGCTAAAAAGACCGACTGTAAAAAGCAGATGCAGCAACAACATGGAAATGAACCAGACCATACGAAGCCAGGCTAAACTAAACTAAACTAGACCAAACGAGGCCAGTAAAATCTTCAAAGTACGAGCTATTATTCTGCTGTGAAGAGATTTTATGGTCTGAATCAATTAGTGCTTGTAAATGTTTATTGTGTAGCCTAGGAGCCACATGAGAAGAATCGAATACACTGAAATGATTGCAGTGACTGCTGGAGAGTTTAGGCAATTTGTCTTCGAGACAGCCGAGTGTTTTTTTGAAAATGATATTATATAACCAGGCTCAATACACTGCACCCATCAGGTGCTGGTGAATTAAAAAAATTGGAAGATTTTGCAGCTGCTGTTTAACCCAGCAAACCTCGAAATACTCAGCTTTCACTTCACTTTCAGATCAGCTCACCAGGCCTTTCCTCTTCACGAGGAATTAGAATCTCATATAAATATTGTGTAAAAACACTTGACACAGCAGGTCGGCGGCACGCTGTGTGCCACACACACAACATGAAGCAGCAGTCGGGGGAGCCTCAGCTACCAGAGCAAACGGACGGATAGAAGCGACCTGGGCACAGTGGGCGCCCTGTTATCTCAGTAGGTGAAACATCTATTTGTAATTGGTTTAATAGAAAGTCGTGATCTCATTCACATATGACTATTGTCACACATGTATACTGCCAGATATTAATACATACTTTCAACATATTGTACCACAGTAGCCAGAACTATAACTATAATATTATTACTTTCAATAATGTTGTTGTAAGCTACTGTTATTACCTGCATCTCTCTCTCTGTCTCTCTCTCTGTCTCTCTCTCTCTCTGTCTCATTGTGTCATGCGGATTACTGTTAATTTATTATGCTGATCTGTTCTGTACGACATCTATTGCACGTCTGTCCGTCCTGGAAGAGGGATCCCTCCTCAGTTGCTCTTCCTGAGGTTTCTACCGTTTTTTTTCCCCGTTAAAGGGGTTTTTTTGGGGAGTTTTTCCTTATCCGCTGTGAGGGTCATAAGGACAGAGGGATGTCGTATGCTGTAAAGCCCTGTGAGGCAAATTGTGATTTGTGATATTGGGCTTTATAAATAAAATTGATTGATTGATTGATAATTCATGTGATATGTTCTTCAAATTAAACTGAGGAGGATGCTTAAGAAATTGCTTCAAACAGGCACTCGTTCACAGAAAGAGGACAAAGAATCCCTGTCTCGACAAAAATGAAAAAAACATCTGATCCATCTTTAATCCATTCATAAACTGTACATACTGCATGAAAATGACATGACTTAAGGGGATTTCATCTTAATTCAATAACAAACCAAAGGCTACTTAAGGATTCTCATACTTAGCCAAGGGCATGGGTTTCATTTCGACACTGAGGGGGACACACGTGATGCGGGGGGTTTGGGGGTCCGCCAGTAGAAATCTTTAAGCAGTTAATGCTTTATTTCCTGCCTGCTTGTGAATGTTTATGCACCAATTTGTGCATTTTCTGCATCAATTTATGGTGTAAATGCCTTTAATGTTGCCCTCTGCTACTTTTATTGGGGCGGGGGTCAAAACTACATGTTCTAAATATTGAAATCGATGCCTATGTGCTTAGCAGTTTAGTCGTAACCTCTCCATGTAAACCGTACAGATTTATTTATTTCTTTATCCAAAGTGGTCTTACAATAGCTGTTGGTAGTGTTTTTATATGGTTGACCGTAGTAGGAATCCAACAACCTCAAACTGCAGGAGAGTGTTTTATCTTCCGTCGACAAAGCCACATTTGAGAGGCAAATAAAATAAAATGAAAACACTCACTGGCAGCTTTGATGAAGCTCCTCTGGTACTGATACGTCATGAGAGGAGCGGGCAGCACTCTGGAGAGAAAGGAGACGGAGATGTCAGGTGTAGAATATCAGCTTGGAAAACAGAGCTCTGGGAAAATCAATAAATCTTGACAGTTTTGGAAGAGCACTCATCTAACTATGTTCTGCTTCTTGTCTTTTATCTCCACCTTGCCTGCTTGCACAGCTGGACATCAGTTTATCACCGCTGCCTGAGGAGTGTAATGACTCCTGCTGCTTCTCAATGAGGCCTGATGGTCCTAATGCCGTTAATGTGTATAGTGTGGCGTGTGTGTGTGTGTGTGTGTGTGTGTGCAGGTAGTCCGTCTTTCTGTGAAGCTGTCCATGTATGGCCACTGAAATGCATGTGTGCGTATGAATGTGTATGAATGTGAATCTTTATCTGTGTGTATGTGTTGTGTGCAGTGTACATTAATTAGGGCAGAGTAGATTGAGCACAGCTTGAACACCACTACTCTCTGTCCTTTCATGCATTGCTCCTTCTGCTATAGCCTATTCCTGTCCTCCATCAATCCTGATCTTCCCTCACTTCCCTTATCTCAGATGTTAAGAGGAAAGGCAGTCATTTATAGGAATACTCCCCCCCCCCCCCCAAATGGTCATTTGTATATCAATTATTCACCCTGTGTTACATTGAATTTGAGATGTTTTCCTCACATTCCTCTGGCGAACGAAGAATCCAAAAACAGAAAATTCTTGATAATTGGACTCACAGGCAGCAGTGTTTAACAACAGCAAAACTACATCAAAACATCCATTTATATACTCTCACACAGCTCTTACAGTATAATCCAAGTCTCATTTATCCAGTTACATGCTTTGTAGTTTTATTTTACCATAGAGGGGTTGTTCATAACACGAATGATCTTGTCTTCCACAGTTCAACCCTAGTCTTCCCTGCTGGTCATCATAAAGCAGTTGATTGTTAAATGGATACTTCAACCCCAAAAGAACCATTTGTGTATTAATTATTAACTAAAATCATTCATGACATTGAATTCATGATGAAATCTGTTTCTGGCATGCCTCCAGTGAACGACGAATCCAAAAACAGAGAAAATTCTTGATAGGCAGCTGCGTTTAACAACAGTAAAACTAGCCTATATCAAAAATCCATTTACAAACTAACACAATTTGTGCAGTGTAATCCAAGTCTAATTTATGCAGTCGTATGCTCAGTACTTCTCAAACAGACAGCCCTTTCCGACGGGGAACTGAACTGAAAGTTATCTATGCTGGGGCATCGGTGGCTTAGTGGTAGAGCACTCGCCCCATGTACAAGGCTGTTGCCGCAGCGGCCCGGGTTCAACTCCAGCCTGTGGCCCTTTGCTGCATGTCACTCCCTCGCTATCCCCCCTTCACGCTCATCTGTCCTATCGATTAAAGGCTTAAAAATGCCTGAAAAAAACATCTTAAAAAAAAAAAGAAAGTTATCTATGCTCTCTTTAAAGCCAGACTCCACTGACAAAAACAGTAGTTTTACCTCACTAAAAACCTAAGTCATACAATAACACAAACAAACTAACTGATTGAGGCAGCAGTAGATAAGCAGCTCCTGTGTTTGATGAGGTAAAATTCCAGTTTTTAATCTGTCCTGCCTCTGCTTGTGAAGCACTGATCATACAACTGGATAAATGAGACTTGGAGTTGTGTGAAAGTTTGTAAACAGATGTTTTGATATAGTTTTGCTGCTGTAAACGCAGTCACCTGTGGCTTAGATTTATCAAGAACTTGCTCTGTTATTGGATTCTCCGTTCATTGGAGGCATGCGAGAAACAGTTCACTTCACAAATTCAATGTAACATGAATAATTGATATAAAAATGGTCATTTGTATTGCCTTACAGTGACCTGCATGTACGACTGGGGTTAACACAATTGTGTTCAAATGTGAATACAAAGTGGAAGAAAAGATCATTTGTGTGATGAACCATCCCTCTATGGTGAAATAAAAGTAAGTGAATACAGCAAATACTGTGTGGGAAAAATTGTGAATTTATTATTTACCAGGCCAGAAATCTGCTACATACAAGGGGCAGAGGCTGGAAGCAGCAATATGCACTTATTCAAGTACTAAGTGAAAAAAAATGCTGCAATTTCTGAACAAGAAGAAATAATTCAGAGTTATGAAAAGAGCAATCAATCCATTTAGCGAGGGTCTTTGAGTTGGAAACACACTCTTAATCTCGGAATACTGAAACACAACAGTAGGGAACTTTTTGATAATAACTACAGAACATTTTACAGCTGTTTCAGAGCACTTGCAATTTTTATTACGTCTTGTCTCAGTGCTTTCACACAAACCTGAGATAATGTTTGATAGCACTCGTGATCGTCTTGATCTCCCACTCTGGGTTTTCTAGCTCCACGTCAGCGCACGTTTTGGGATCTGACGGACGTAAAGAAAAAATGATTATATTACAGAGGGGAAAATATATCACTGTTTCAATTTTAATATTATACATGTGTCTGTGTTTACCCATAGCAAGGCTCAGTAGTTTTTGTACTCTGGAGTTGACGCCAACGAGTCTGTACAGGCCCTGATCATCGATACCTGGAGAGGAGAGGAGAGGAATTTTTTAACCAACCAAAACACTGAATTTATCTGAGCTTCCTCATGTGAGTACAGTACACCAGCCTCATTTGACATTTCTTAGATAAAAGGTAACATACATCAGCAACGTTAATACCTCCACTTACAAACAATTCTAAAGTACTTGGTGTGGGGGAAAAAGAACAAGCTGGTTTAACATCGGGAACCATCTGAAGAAGGCGTAAATGGTTACAGGCTTCATACCGACATTACAAAATTTTAATTCTTTTTAAGAACTTTGTTTTTCAAGGTATTTCAGTACTTGATTTTTTCTCCTCAAAATCCAAGCACTTCAAGCACTTGGGCCCTGTGATAATAAGATGCCACATCTCCATGCTTATGCAGGTTTATTTTAAACCTGGCCCCACTCACACTGCAATTCAATTAATCTGTCACAGGAAATCAAATTGCTGAGTCTAAAAAGGGGTATGACTGATTTTATTCAGCATAGTATATTTAGATTCAATATTAATTTATTTCTTTTTTGTCTAATTTGTAAATTCATCATATTTTTTATCGTACTTCTGAGCTGCTGTAGAGTGTGCAGTTCCCCAGTGTGCAATTAATTAAGTCTTTTCTTATACACTTCATGAGGACCAAGAGCAGGGCAGCAAGCAAAGGTTACCGTAGTGACAAATTATTTCAGTATACTTCAAGTGATTTCAGCATCCAAGAACATATACATTTGCCTTGACATTTGATTTAACATCATACTCTTTTTTTTTTTTTTTTCCCCACTTTTATTTTCACACATGCCCCTGCTATAAAGCATAATCCTGGCAGCTCGGAGACACAAGGGCCATCATTATATACCATCTAAATGTAAATGCATCTGCTGAACGATGAGATGCCAAATAGTGTCCCAGAAGATGCTCTTAGAGCAGCTGATGAAAGGAAGAGGTGCAGATATTGCACATGTGGAACCTTTACTGTGACATTTCAGAAGAAAGTCTGTAAAGAGGGACCTCCAGGTGCATCAGAAGACAATCCATTCAGAGAGTGGAGGGTTTAAATCCTGCAGATGATCCTTGAAACCAGTTATTTCAAAACCCCCTCTTCCAACAGCTTCTGTGCTACAAAATCAATACTAAGGTTCGAGCATATAATTTCATTTCTACCATGCACACACCTTACCAGAGAGTCTCTTAAAATAGGAGTTGATCTTTTAACTGGCAGGAAATCCACAGAACAAAAGGAATAAAATATGAATCAGAGTTAACACTATACCTCGAGTCTCCACTGCGTAAATGAATTTTTTCATCACGTTGAACCCGATCACATCCAGCTGGGCCACTGATGGGAAGGGAGACAAACAGAATTATTACAGAGTCAGGAAATTTTTACTTATGCATTGATTTCTAACATAAAACAGGAAGTTGAAATCCTTAGATCTTAGTAACAGTGAATGGAAAAGTTCAGATTTCTGGGAGACTGGAGTATTTGAAAATACTCTGCATGTTCTGCGCCCTTGAATAAACACAATTCCAATTAAAGCTACTTACTGCCTTCAGCCTGGTTGTCTTTGTTCAGATTGTATACCTGCAAATAAATAGAAAAAAAACACCAACTCCTTCAGAAGGAAAATGATTCACAACTTAGCCTAATGAGAGCAGGATGTATTTGTACATCACAACATCCGTTGCCAACAATTTAAACACACAAAGCAGAAAAACACACCTGTTGTATTCTGTTGTTTATCTATGTCTCCCTGTTGGGCTTTGAATGCTTGTTAGCAAATGCTGCTTAGTTTAAATCTGAGAAAATCTGAGTGCATAATCTGCAATACATGAGGATATTGAGAAACGTATAAAAATGTCACAGCTATTCTTGGCTTTTCTGCAATCTGTATAAATTCAGTTTCCATGGTAATGATGACGATTTTAAGTTTAGGTTTTGGGCTCTGTGTTTATGCCCACTTTTATTGTAAAAAATAACTCACAAATGTCCTTAAAGAATATCCATACATGGTCACATTTAGAAACAATTAACAATTAACCAACTATCATATAGGAAATACAGAAAATACAAACTACCCCCACCCCTCCATTGTCTGAGCTTGTACAGGATGCACTGAACTTCTTGTGGTTGCACTGTGCAGTTGTGGTCAGTGGTGAGTTTGCACCAAGTATCAGTGTGAATGTACAGACAAAGAGTAGCATACAGCAACAAAGACAGAATAAGCATAAGTGAAACATGAACACCAACATCTCTGTTTTATTACAGATCGCCTGAGCTCAGCGACTACTTGTCGGAGCTTGCAGTGGCTTTATTGACAGTGATTACCTTTGCACGTTTGAATGTTGACATGAGGATGAGGGAGGTGTTGGGGCATGAACTCGACTAAATCAGAGTGTGGAAATAAGCGCTAACACATGCTTGAAAGCCTTAGGGTTGGAAAAAGCTGAAAATTAAGAAGGCATAAACAAATAGTTGGAGAAACTGGGTGTCAGTCAACTTTCCTATTAGGAGCATAAACACCAAAATCATCTGCGGGATAATGGCGTCTTGACAGTGGTTCCACAACTTCTTTGTTTTTAGTTATGACCCTTCAAATGAAGCCCTCATCACAGGTCGCGGACTATTTGTCAAGACTTGTGAGCAGCTTCGCCAAAGACCGATTTTCCCTTCTAACCTTCTCAGATTGTTTCTTTGTTTGGCCTAAAGTAGCTGAATCGATTAGTATTTCAAAAGGAAAAAATTTAGAAAAAGTGTTGAGTTTCTTCCCTTTTACAATCTCATTACTCATCTTTTGACAACAGATTTATTTTGGGAGTCCTCAAGGCCCAGACACGCCAAACTAACATCGAGTACTAGTGGTGACAGAGGCCGACTGCTGCACATCGCCTGTATCTCTGCTAAAAAGCTGCACATGAACACATCGCAGTCAACAGCCAACCAAAACTAACACCCTGCACCTTTGTGAGAGGAGGTAACTCTCCATACCAGCAGGTGGCGGTAGTCTGTATTCTTCATTCGGATTCAGCACCTTAACAAAATCCCCTGATGTTGAAAGAACGAAGGATATCTATGGTGTGCTCGCAAATAATAACATAAACAATTATAAATCATGTCTGCTAAAGAGCTAAATGGCTAAAAACATAATCTCACCTAATATAATAAGTTAGTTTTAATATCATGGCCTCTTGACTGTAGTGGTTTGTTTGCTTTCCTCACTTCCGTTTCTCTTCTGGTGCACTGGCTTAACTGCCAACCAAAGTGATTTCATTTACTGACAGGCACCACCATATCAAGTGCCAATTCAAGGGCCAACAATGGCTGCCAAGTGCCAAGGACACACAGCAAAAACTAGGGCAACAGATGCTTACCGACAGCCCAATACTGACCGTTTACTGTATATAAAGATGGACGACGCGTCTCCACTCACCCCCACTGTACAAAAACAAAGCTAAAATATTCTGAACACAGCAGATGCCATCAGCTTAGTGTGTCAGGGCCCTCAGAGGTGTCTTGAAAATCAGTACTTTATGTTAGCAGCTAACATAATGCTATGTATGTCCTGACAGCGTGCACAGAGGGAGGGCTGCACGAGTCAAACCAGTGCTACAAAAATGATTTTAAATGTTGAGGCATGTTGTTTTTTCTGTCTGTCTGTCTGTCTGTCGGTCCCTCTGTCTCTGTCTCTGTCTCTCTCTCTCTCGTCACGTAAGAACAAACTGGTAACCTTGGTAACCTACCGGTTCTCTCCCATCCATGGCCTCCATCCACAACCTGCGGTCTTCTTCTGACAGAGCCTGCATGGTGATTACGCCCGACCTTCACACACACAAAAGATACATTATTAGATATGATGATTTGAATGGGAAAGACTGTTTGTTAAAAGCGTCACCGAGCCTTGCAAGTAGTGACTCAACGCACACAGGGATAAAAATGCATCATTATAACAACCATAACATCACACAGGAGATCTTTTAGATTTTTTTAACTAACTAATGTAACAAATAAAAATATACCTGATGCCATGATTGAAAATAATTCATTTAAAGTGTTTTTTGTAGTTGTGCAGAAGGATCTCAGCAGTAAATCTCACATACTCATTAGTGGGTACCAGAGGTATGGCTACTGTATCACCTTCCAGCAAAAACAGATGATCAACAGCTTCTTCACCTTAAAAGGATTCAAAAAGGACAAAGAATTTAGCTTGAAAATTCATTCCACTAAGCAACTAAGATATATCACCCTGATACAGGCAACCTTCAGAGTGCAAACACACACAGACACACACTCCCACGGCCTCATTGGTCATGTCCCTCCCAGTCTTCTAAGGTTTCTAATCAGTCCTATACAGTCTGTCACCCTGTCACTGGCAGCAGTCTCAACTTCAGCTGTCACCACTGCAGCACCCCCTCCACACACACCAATCTATACACTGTCCTTCAATCATGACACACCACCCGGAGTACAGTCACACTCAGGTGACTGCGCACAGCCACGTTCTGCACGCGGGTGCAGATGAGTACATGCTAAGCGAAACAAATGTTTACAAAACTCACATAATCAAATGTTTTTATGCCAGCCTGCAACACACAAATGACATGTAAACACACCATTTGAGGAAATACCACTCACATGTTAGCACGCACACAACGGTAATACAAATAAAGGCACGATGGGGAAACAAGTGGAGAAGATGATGACAAGGTGAGTTGATTTAATGGAGGAAGGTTGAACATGAGGAGGAGTAGGCAGGAAGGAGGGGAGGGAGAAAGAGGAGGGGAGGAGGAGTGTAGGAAGCGAGGCACTGCAAGAGGCCGAGCCTGAGAGGACGGAGAGCTTCAATGTTTCTTCTTCAGCTCCAAATCGACTGAGCACCCCCCTGTGTCTGTTAGCTGTAATTACACCATCAGAGCAACATGGCTGTAATGTGCTACATGACTGCATTCACTGGCATCAAAATCCATGACGCTTCCATTACTTTCTATAACAAAGTCAGAAGCCTTCAATATCTTACTCTTTCCTGACATGCCTGTATTTCAGATAGGTTTTTTTTTTCATTACAATCACTGGGCTACCGGGACAAATTCCCCTGAGAACCATTTTCTAATTTACTCTGTGCGAGAAACAAGTTGTGAAATAGAATCTGGTGTATTTGTGCCGCAGTATTCCCCAAAGGATTCATCAAACTCCTCCTGCAGAACTTCACAATATTCCGGAGATGGAGAAGCTGTAAAGCCGAGACAAAGTCAAAGCACACACACACTGACCTGTCCACAGCCTCCACATCAAAGCAGAACCTTTTTTCTATGGAGTCCGTCTTCCTCCTGGTGCATGACTTGAGGATGAAGCTCTCCTCTTCGCCCTGACAAAGAGAGAGTGAAGGAGAAAAAAGCATCATAGTATATTAGCATTATTTTGATAATAGCATGTAGGCCACCCATTTCAGTGCTCTCTATACGACGAGAGGAGAAAACAACCACATCTTGGGTGTTATTGAGATAATGACGGATATTTTCTTGTACAAGACTAAGAACTCTGACATGTTTAGCAAAACACTAGGTCAGCTTTTAGAGCTAAGATAAGTGCATATCATGATAATGACTCACTCTCTTTCTTCTCGTGTTGGAGAACAACTGCTAAACTTGCAATTGGAAGCACATTCAGATAATTTTGGACAAACATTTGCAGTGTGAGATGGGCAGCGACACAAATCTCTGCAGGAACTGGCTCACGAGGAATGAGTTTGAAACTGAAAAACATGTATAAATAGGGACTAAAAACTTCAGTGTTACTGTATCATCTTAAAGTTTTGAAAGCAGTTGAAACTATTTGAGCATTGTCTTCTCACAGACTGTAGCCCAACACACTCGTCATGAGAAACTCTTTAGCTTCAGGTACAGTACACCAGCAACGCCATCTGCTTAGTTATATCTTTATGGATTGCAACATTTACATAGAATATGATTTGCTGTGCCAAATTAAAAGTACATATTTTTCCACACACTTACAGTGCTAGTTAATCCTCCTTAATGGTGACGAATCACAAAGCTAAGGAGCAAGTTAATTTAGGTCAATTTCAGTGGTAGGCTTACAGTAAGTTTGCAAGACTCATGGTCTCACTATCACATGTTTTTGGGCTTTTCATAGTATTAGTATCTTATAGTTTGGTGAACTCATTATGGGGTTATGTGCAATATTTCGCCTAATTTTTGTTCCATGTCATGTGATATCATGTTGTTCGTTGTACATGGTTTGTCCTGTGGTAACGTACTGTCAGGTTCTGAAAGTCATGCAGCTGTGTCCAGCACTTTTTTTTGGCCCAAGACAAATTTCTTTCGGGGCAGTAAAGTTTGTCTTTTTTCTCGTCTCGTCTCGTCTCGTCTCGTCTATCAATGGAACACACTGCCACAATCGATCAGAGAATCTCCATCATATCACTCATTCCAAGCAAACGTTAAGAACTGGCTTGTAGACACCTAAAGATGTGAGCACTGATGTTGATATTGTTGTCCGATGTGAATTGTTGTCCAAATGTGTATTATTAACGTGGACACACATCACCTTGTTGTAGTCCAAATGTGTATTTATTATGTATGTATTTACGGACAGTAGTATGTGTTTGTGTCTACCCTATGTGGTACAATATTTTATCCCATTGTTGTTCTTTTTAAAGGTTGCCTTGTACAAATTGGCAAAGGGACAATCGATGAAAACTAGCTTTTTAAGCTAATTCGAGTGCATTTACATGTGTGTTTTTTGTATACAATGTTTATTAATGTGCATTGTCCCTTTCAAATAAACTAGAAAGAAAGAAAGTAATCAGTCTAGATTATTTTGGTATGAGCTGCGGAGTGTTGGGGATATCAGCCTTAGAGATGTCTGCCTTCTCTCCAATATAATGGAAGTAGATGACACTGGGCTTGTGGTGCTCAAAGCGCAAAAAAGCAGTTTCATGTAGGAACTATTTTCTTTCTTCCGAACAACACCAGCGCAGAAGGAAGTGTGCATCTACTCACGGATGAGAGGCTCGTGTTCCTGACAGTACAAGATGCAAAAATGAATAGCGTCCTCCACGGCTGAGGTGTAAACTTAGCTAGCTTAGTGGTGCTAGGTGATCTAGCAGTAGATGCACTCTTCCTTCTGCATGGTGATAGGGTTGGCAGGTTGAGTTTAGTAACCAGGTCACGATTTCTGGAGACTTTGCTGTCGAGTTTTCAAATATATTTTTTGGCACTTTATGCACCACAAGCCGAGTGCCATCTAGTTCCATTATATTTGAGCAAAGGCAGACATCTCTATGGCTCCAACACTCTGCAACTCACACCAAAACAATCTAAACTGATAAATAGCCCTACAGGTAAGAAGAAAAATATGGGATTTTGATTTTTAACGGTCCCTTTTGGTTTACATCCTCATAGAAAATTTGGGTAGTGCAACATGTTGTAAGTCACAAAAACATATATTAAAACTGGTTCAAATGCATCTTAAGGCAGTTGTCTCACATGTCTGGCCCTAAATACTTAACTAAGGAGGAATACATGAACAAAATTCCAAGAAAGACAAAAAGAAAATGTCTCCATACTTGGACTAATGTTGAGTGATATAAATCATGTTACAGCCTCAGAAGCAGCAACTGAACTTACCTCCACGCTGTATTTTCATCAATCAAGTCGATCTCTAAAAATGCTCGGTCTCACTTCCTCTCATAAAATGGAGGTTTCTTTAATCGTGTGTTTTTATTCCTTTCATTTAATCTATGTTTGTAATTTCTAATAAAGCACCACTTTCATATATACACAGCACACATGCAAAGCATTTCCGGTTTAAACTCTTATAGGCCCAGGTGTGATGTTATCAGCTTGGCTCTGTGATCCCCTGTATATATTCTGGCTGTCTTCCTGTGTGGGAGCTGAAAGGCTTTCTGTGACGTTCAGTGTTTTTTTACTTCTCCTTCAGTTAAACACTCAAAATGCTCCGTGAGAACCTTCAGAAAGCAGGCCTGAACTTGCAGCAGCTTTGGGTTATTTAGTGTGTAGGTGGAGAGAGTGATAACAGATAGCACTTTGAGAAAATAGTTGGAGTCACGCTGCCTACTCAAAACATCTTAGGCGACGCTGCGCTCTCGTCTGTTGAAGCTGTTGCTGTGGGAGAAATTGTTAAAAGTGATATTTCCCGAGATGACTGTATGCCGGTGTAAAGTGGCACCAGGCATCAGGAACGCTTCTCGTCTTGGAGCTGAAGGACTGACGCAAAGCTTGACATTTACACTGTTTATGATTTAAAATAGTTGAACAGCTTCCTGCTTGCAAAACTCTTTTGTAGCTTCCCTGAAAATACCCTGTGACATCATGTGTTTGGGAATAATAAAAATACACCCAATCACAGTGAGAGTTTGTGGTGTTGGAGAGCAGCCCAGTGGGATTAACTGGGTGAAACCCAACTGCAAATCAGGAAAAACGACAGGCCAATGTGACACTCTTGCATCTGTATATGAGAGTGGCTGAGCATGTGAAAGATTTATGTGCATATTGATACAGACAGAGAGCTAGACAGATAGATTGAAACCTTATCTGTTTATTTAAATGGCCAAGCTACTCACCGTTTTTCCTCCTGATTTAGGGTCAAACAGGACCATGGTGACCCTTTTGGGCTCACGATGATACGTGCAGTAGTACTTCACCCAGGTAGATACAAAGGAGCCTGAGTCAGAGAGAGGCAGGAATGGAGACAGGTGAAGAGACAGAAGGTTAAAAACAAAACCACAGGAGAAAAGCAGAATAAAGAGAAAACAGTGATGTCAAACAATCAGGAAAAAGAAGAGACAGAGGCAGGAGGGGGGTGACAGTCTTAGTCATGCCTGCGTTAGTGCTAGATGGGTTACCATGGTAACTGCACGCGGTCAGAGCTACAGTCACGTCTCCAACAGATCAGACTTGACTTCGTCAGCCACAGGTTCATTATGGTTTGTTTGTCCCGCTGCTCTGACAGTGTTTGTGTGTATGTTTGAGCCAAACAACATGTCCTTAAAATGCACACACTGTGCCTACATACACACACACATGCTCAATCATGTCTCCATGGTACTGCTACACTTTAAATTATTGCTGAATTGTGTCCTCATTGTAAGATGTGACATGAACACACACACACACACACACACACACACACACACAGAAATGGGCTGATACATACGCTTCTCCTGCACAAACAGATATCCCTCCATGGTGTGCTGGCTGACACTCTTGTGTTCATGTGGATTCTCCTTCATCTTCCTCATCAGGCTTTCCACCTCCGACCGTGTGCTCTCAAAGCGGTTCCTCGTCTGTCAACACAAGTACAGCGGAGCTCACACTGTGGGCCTTTCACTGAATGCTCCATTTTTTGAAGAGAGGTTCCTGGATGTTCTTTTTTATAACCCATAACTATAAAGTTAAAGCCATAATTGTGGCTGCTTTTCATTAGGCTAACATATGCTTCCTCATGTCCTCTCTCCTCCCATGACCCTGCGTTTCCCCACCGCCTTCATGGAGAATCTTACAATGCCTAAATGCACCTCGAGCAGACAAGGAGCAAGGAGAGAGGAGACTTCTGGAGAAAGTTAGAGTGAGGAAACACAGGTGTACCCTACACAGAGTTTTTCATCAGATGGCATGATGTATTAACGCAACACCTCCACATGTGGCGCAGCATGTTAGGAGTAACCGATGTCACTGAGGGGCTCATCTGTGCTCAGCGTTAAATACATACAGATGAGCTATCTGTCTGTTCTCTGCATTCGTTTTGTGTGTACTTGTACATGTTTTGTGAAAGGAGCAGGACCGACTGAGATAACAGAGGCAGTGTAGCGTAGTTCACGTGAGATACAAATGCAGAAGATGACAAAGACATTTAAAAAATAGCGTAATGCAAGAAATTGGTGATATAGTGAAAAGAATTCTCCGTCCATATGTCACAGTGTATTGAATGACCTCACATACCGCCACTGTCTACAACACTACCTCTGTTAAAAGGTGCATTATTATGACCCCATCCGCTGTTGTTGTGTGAAACCTTTGACTCTCCCTCTAGTGCCCTCTAGTGGTTGTATCTACGTTATTATAATGGACGCATGGAAGTATGAGGGCAGTGATATTTGCAAGTCTGACATGGACATGTATTTTTGTACATAAAGAGAGTATAAATGAGCCGTTAGACTGACGCTATGGCACCAATGATTTATTTAATTAGCAGCTTTGGCTCCTCTGTCCTCATGTCTCCTTCCTGCATCTATCCCTCACACCCACCTTGGGAGGAGCAAAGACACCAGGTAGTGTCAGGAAGTGAGAAGGCATGTTAGCATATTGAAAAGCTCCCTTTGAATAACTCACTGACTTTTAAATTCCTCCCAGCCTGCAGCCTTTTCATATTTGGAGGATCATTTTCTCTTAGACATCTCCTACCCTCCAAGATCACATTTATCCTGTTTTAGCTTCTCTGCACTGGCTCCCTGTAAAATCCAGAATTGAATTTAAAATCCTACTGTTAACTTATAAAGCTCTAAATGGTCAAGCTCCATCATATCTTAGAGAGCTCATAGTGCCATATTATCCCACCAGAACACTGCGCTCTGAGAACGCAGGGTTACTCGTGGTCCCTAAAGTCTCCAAAAGTAGATCAGGAGCCAGAGCCTTCAGCTATCAGGCTCCTCTCCTGTGGAATCATCTTCTTGTTGCAGTCCAGGAGGCAGACACCGTCTCCACATTTAAGACTAGACTTTCCTCTTTGATAAAGCTTATAGTTAGGGCTGGCTCAGGCTTGCCCTGTACCAGCCCCTAGTTAGGCTGACTTAGGCCTAGTCTGCCGGAGGACCCCCCTATAATACACCGGGCACCTTCTCTCCTTCTCTCTCTCTCTCTCTCTCTCTCTCTCTCTCTCTCATGTTCTGTTACTGCATCTTGCTAACTCGGCCATACTGCATGTCAGTAACTCGGCTTCTTCTCCGGAGCCTTTGTGCTCCACTGTCTCTCAGATTAACTCATATCACAGCGGTGCCTGGATAGTGTGACATGTGTGGTTGTGCTGCTGCCGTGGTCCTGCCAGATGCCTCCTGCTGCTGCTGTTATCATTAGTCATTAGTCATACTTCTACTGTTATTATACACATATGATTATTGTCACATATGTATACTGCCAGATATTAATATATATACTTTCAACATATTGTATCACAGTAGCCAGAACTATAACTATAATATTATTTCTTTCATTAATGTTGTTGTAAGCTACTGTCATTACCATCTGTCCTGCATCTCTCTCTCTCTGTCTCTCTCTCTTCTGTCTCATTGTGTCATACAGATTACTGTTAATTTATTATGTTGATCTGTTCTGTACAACATCTATTGCACGTCTGTCCGTCCTGGAAGAGGGATCCCTCCTCAGTTGCTCTTCCTGAGGTTTCTACCATTTTTCCCTGTTAAAGGGGTTTTTTTTGGGGGAGTTTTTCCTTATCCGCTGTGAGGGTCCTAAGGACAGAGGGATGTCGTATGCTGTAAAGCCCTGTGAGGCAAATTGTGATTTGTGATATTGGGCTTTATAAATAAAATTGATTGAAAACTGAAAATGTTTCCTCTGTGTTAATGAAACTAATCTAAAGGACTGAATGAATTTAGATGGCCTTTGAACTTTCAGCGTGAGTGCTTTAATGTAACATTTTGTGTGAAGCAGCCTTTTCAGTTGAAGATAAAGTGATGCCCTTTCAAATGTTTCTGTCAATAAAAAACCAAAGCAAATCTGAACGAGGCAGATGTATCATTACCACCTTAACCAAAAAACCAAATTAAACACCAGCACTGATGGACCTTACATTCTGTATGCTGATGGTGAGATCAGTCTTGAAGTGGTTGAAGTCCTTTGCCAGCTCATAGCCATGGTGATAGTAGGTGAACAGGCCTTGGAGGAACGCCAACAGCTGAGGGGAACAATGACAGCAAGATAATTTAGTAGATGAAGGAAGACAAGGACGAGATAAAGATGGAGAAGGTGAAAAAGAGTAAAGACGGACAAGGCAGATGAGGAAGATAGCGAAGTAATGCAGATGCTATGGGAGAAGCCAAAAAGGAAGAGAAGAATGTGGACAAGGAGGAAATTTTGGGTTAGTGAAGAGGGGGAAGATGAAGTGGAGGAGTTGGAAGAGGAGGATGCAAAGAAAGGAAGAGGATAAAGAGTGAACAGATATATTTTATCGTTACAAGACTTTGGAAGTATGTCTGTACCACAAAACAATGACCAATTATAAAATACAATCTCTTATTCGAAAGACAGAACTCATAATAGATTGTACCTAGTTTATAAAAGGTTAAAAGTGAGGTTTTTGTGGTGCGTGTGCAACAACTTGTCTTTATTTCCGCAGAGACTAGCACTGAGGTGCCCTCAAGCAAGGCACGAAAACCTCCACACCGCTGTTCGTTACCATCAGAGATCTGTGTGTGTAATGAGCAGCTGCTGGGTGTGGATATGTCAAAGTGAGTAAATGTATGACAGCCCACAACCGAAAAAGAACATGTGTGCACAACAACTTTGGGGAAAATCAAGAGTTTAAAAACAGACACATTGCATAAACGAGAGAAAAACAAAAACAAGCGTCGTCTTACAGGCTCCACAAAGTCAAACATCTTCCTCTCTTGGACCTCCTGCACCTTGAAGACGTACTCCAGGGAGACCTCGTAGAAATGCTGCCGTACGTTATCCACCTGGTTGTCCGCCTGGAATGGAGAGGGACATTAGGAAACGCAATGGTGAGAAAAATTAGAGAAGGTGGGAGACAAAATAGTGAAATGAAATCGGATCTTACCTCATGTAGATGTGCCTCTTTCTTCCTTGCTGAGAGGCTAAGGTGCTTCTCCAGCACTGCACAATACTTCTCTGTCTCCTTGTCATATTTTTTCTTGGCTTCCTGTAACAGATAAAACAATTCTTATTTGAGTGACTGACAGAAAGATCAAGCTTCACCTCAGCTACCTCAGTAGACCAAACATCTGTCTTAATTCTCATCATACATTGACAGTCGCCATCTGCGACCCATCGTATCCCTTGCAGGTTGAGCTGCAGGTTTTGAGACCAGAGAGGAACTCAAACTTTAACTTTCATACAACATTTTTCATTTTTCAGAGACTCTCCAGTATGAAATTGTTCCTCCGGGGAGCACAGCTGCTTATTTAACAACACACTGTTTCATCAGCGCTGACATCACTGACAGAAGAGATGGACAGTTAGACGGATGATAAACCAGGGACAGCCACAGCAGGGTGTGTATTTCCTAAGATCACTGGACTGAAAAATACAGAGATAAACTGAGACGTGTCCAAGAAGACTTAGAGGCAGAAAAAGGAAAAAACACACACCGATTGTTTCTTTCCTGAGGATGTTCTGATGGTCTCATTAGGATCATTAAACTTTAATCTAATTTAGGCCAGTTGAAGGGGGAGATAGAGATATGAGTGAGGAGAGACAGAGAGGGAAACGAGGAGAGAAGTGGACACATAAACAGAGGAGGGGCAGATCAGGGCGGGTCTCTCTTTGTCAGAGAGGCCCTGCGGTATTATTACTGTACATCTATCCCAGCCAGTTAACAGTGCTGTGTGTCTTTATCCAAAACAAATAAAGTGACGAGGCTGGAGTTTCAGAATGATACTAATAAACACTGGGCATAGCAACCGGCTCAGTGCTTCTATCATTTGAGCGTTTCACCATTAAAAAACACACACAATCAACTTCAATAATTGGACGATAGAAAATTAACTTATCGCTTTAAAGAAATAAACATTTAAACATTCTCTGGTTCCAGCTTTTTCAATGTGAGGCCTTGCTGCAGAGAAGAAGATGGAAAATTGAGTGGGACGTTTTTCACTTTTCTCTGCTCCTACACTATATTCAGTTAATCAGTTAATGGACAAAAAACAATAAAGAAAGTAATAGTTTTCAATGCCAGTTTATGTGTCCACATTGCTATAAACAAGTTGTTCAAATTTAAATTCACAGAAGAGTTGCCAAATGTATCGCCAAATTGATCCACTGAGAACTAGCGAGCCAAACGTCTGTTCACCAATTAGGTTTTATTTTCAGCTTAAACTTACTGATGCCAGAAAAGTGTGACAATTTATGTAATGATTCTGAACCTTTTTCCTTAAGAGACCTCATTTCTCTCATGCAGAAAATTGACAACCCCTCACTAAGTGATATATTCTATAGAAATTTCACATTATATTTAATGCATAACAATAACAGTACGGAACAACCGGTAAATTGTACAATTAGTGAAGGAAGTAACCACAGAAACTTTGTGTAAAACGAGTGATTTGGATGAATTTTGAGCAGATATAATGCATCAAAGATAAGTTTTTCTGATATTTTTGAAAGGTTTTCTTTACAGTGATCTGTCTGTATTATTCATTCATTCATCTTCTAACCGCTTCATCCTCTTGAGGGTCGCGGGGGGGCTGGAGCCTATCCCAGCTGACACTGGGCCAGAGGCAGGGTACACCCTGGACATGTCGCCAGACTATCGCAGCGCTGACACATAGAGACAGACAACCATTTATTAATCATAATACAGATCTGTCTGTATTATGATTTTTTTTTTAATTTTTAACAATACAAAACATACGATACCGTACCATCTAAACTGTAGTTTAGTTTCCTTAGTTTCCTTCACAGAAACGAATGAAATGCTGAGGCCCACTGTAGTTGTTTTTGTTTGTTTCTTACATCACTTAAAATCATGATGGCCTCACAACCCCCACGATGCTTTGGCTTCTCCTTATGAGGGTTGGGACCCCTTGGTTGGAAACCAGTGATATATAGGGGCGGGAATCACCAGAGACTCCATGATACGATATCATCACAATACTTGGGTCACCATACCATATTACTGCCACACACTGAGTATTGTAATACAATATATTGTATCACTTCAGCCATTTTATCTGCAGCAAAACGTATCTAGTGGACTATTCTACCTGAAGTTTAATTTGTATTTGTAACATTAATAATTTATGTAATAAAAAATCAATACCTGGCACTGTGTGACGACACGATATTGCCACACAAAAATATTGCGATACTTTACTTATCGATTTTCTCCCCACCCCTGATGATGCAGTCCATACTAAGTCAAAATGTCTGCTGTAAAAAGGGCCTGTTGGGAGGTAACGTTGTGAATCACTGAACAACACTGTTTTATGGTATTTTGCGGTTTACAGGACTTTATGCATTAATGTGATGAACTGTCTTCATCCGTCATGTACGTAATTTGCTGGACTCTCCAGTCTTCCTGTCTGGTTATTTGTTTTTGCGTGAATTAGTTTTCCCAACACCCCTCGGAAAGACATTTGCCAAGAAAATAAAACTCCCAGATCAGTGAAAGCAGCGGAATAATGTCACAATCAATCACATAAAAATCGCCGTGATGTCAGCCCCTGCTGCAGTCACATGACACAGGTGCTCCACTGCCAAGCCAGTTTCAACAACAAGCAGAGTCGTCAGGGCCAGAGGAGGAACAGACAGCAGCTGCAGAACGCATCAGAGAAGATGAACATTCCTCTAAACAACAAGGCCTCTGTTTAAAGTCGGCCGCTTTGACTTTTCCATATTCACTGCGGAACCGTGTCTGAAATGACTGCAGCTGCTGCCTTCGCCTGTGTGTTTCTGATTATGAGTTTCATGACATAATTCTTACTAAAAATACATTTTAAAAACAAATTAAGGAAGCTTGATTGAAAGTAATGTGGCAATGAAAACCTCAAATTATGCAGCCAGTATAAATGTCATGTTTCTATTAGTCACCTTTTCCCCCTTTACTAAGTTGTTGGTAAAAAAGTTAGAGGCATTTAAAGCTGGTCGACTTTAAGCCACTTCCATTCTCAGCCAGCAGATGGCAGTCTCCCCTCAGTATGACACTCACTGCTGTTTTCTTCTACCAGAAGAGTAAAGTACATGACATGTTTTGATACAAGGTCATGCCTGCGACTACACTGACTCATCACAGCTACAATCAAGTTATACTACACTCCACTGTGCCGTCATGTCAACAGTTACCAGGAGGTCCCGCTGAGACATGAAGCAATACATCATCACTCCCTGCTTGGTTCTGTACGCAGCACATGGCATGACACTTTTTGTAAACATTCACTTCATTCTTGCTTTTATTCAGTTTACCATGAAACCAAAGCTCACTAGCAGTACAAGAAATGCACTGTGCTGTATTAATAAAAATATCCTATCCTATAGGAGAAGCATCTGCCGTGCCTTGCATGGGGCTTGAACTGACTCTGATCACATCTGTTTGTCAAAGTGTAAATGTGTAAACCTAAACAAGTTATCATTCAGTCTTAAATGATGGACAGATGGATTGCAGATATACCAATTTACCAGAATTTCATTGTATTCTCTAACTGCTTAATCAGTGGAAACACCTCTAAAAAATCTTTACAGCAGTAGATCTTTTCAGACAGGTTTCTATAGTTGCTGCAGGACTGTCTTATTTGTTGTTACACAAACATGGCCGTCACATTACCAGCACTATGTCCTTTGGAGTACACGGGTTCATGCCAGCGTCATGTTCATCTTCAAAGCAGTGTTGTGCTCTTCATGCTTGCAGTGACTGCTGAAGGGATTTAAATACTTGTGCAATGCATTTTCTGAGACTTTGATTCCACAATTTGCATGAATTCTACAGCGAATGAGATTAGGACCTGGAGTTTCCTTTAAGTAAACTCTTTCAAACTTGTTTCGACTCCTCCTGTGTCAGAGGACTGGCAGCTCGGGAGCTTTAGGACGAGGTGAAACTGTGCCAGGAGAAGATCTTTCTTCGGTTCTTTTAGGGCTAAACTGGGATTAGTACATTGCTCATGGTGACCTAACTGCGCAGATTATGCGTTCACTTCTTAATCTGACCACGATGTACAATCAAACAATGACCTGCTACAAGGGGATGGATTAGCAGAGTATACACTGATGACATGCTAAATACTGCATGTATCAGGGGAGCCCCCTGTGGCTACTCATCTAGGTCCTATGGCTAATGACGGCCCGGGGTAAGTGCACCATGACCTGCTGTAAAGAGATTTGAATACTGAATCATGGCATATTTAAAACATGGGGCAAGGGATTACCCAAAAATATGCAGTATGGTATTTATCCTTTACCCCAAGAGAGTTGTAGAACTGTTATTTGAAGTCTTCAGAGTAAATTACCATACTTTGTATATAGTAAATCTTGAGTTGACATGCTCCCATACTTAGTTACTTTTTTATGTTCAGTGTTTTCTTACTCTCCTGTACATTCAGTCAGGGGGCAAAAAGATTTAAACACACTGAAACCCTAAGACAACAGAGGGGGCCCTGCTGGTCTTAGAGACCCCCCAGTGATTTATAGCAGGATTATGTATTCCTCTAATCTCCTATCCAGGTCATGCACTGATAGTTAAGACCTTGATTTATGGACAATCATGGTGGAGACATGCAGTAAATATTATATATTTGTATTTATACTAAAGCTTTTTATTGCAAACCTGTCTTAAAAAGCACTTTCTGATATTCTCCTGGTGCAAGGTTAATAACAATATCTTTATTTGTAGAGCATTTTTCGAGCTGATCTGATGCTCAGTGGGAGGCTGTTTCAAAGACAAGGAGCAAGAACTGAAAAGGCTTGATCACTCATCTTTAACCTGGACTCTGGAACAGTTAGAAGACCCAGACTAGCAGACCTGAGGGGCCTGTTTGGGCAGTACAGTGTGAGAAGCTCAGTTATATACTGCGGTGCCAGATCACTGAGAGCTTTATATGTAATTAAAAGAACATTAAAATGGATTCTAAAAGAGACAGGGAGGCCAAATTAGGTGTGATGTGTGAGAATCGTTTTGTTTTGGTCAAAAGTCTAGCTGCTGAATTTTGAATAATCTGGAGCTGGTGCAAAGCTCCATTGTGTGGTGTGGATGTGTGATTGTACTGTGCTAATACTAACGTAGTAAAGAGACTTTTATGGCGTCATTTACACTTACAGGTCTGCAGTTTAGGCAAAGTGTTGTATCATAGCATTTCCATTAGTCTTCAATATATACTGTACTTATCAGAGGTGCAAGATGCACTCTTGAACTACAGAAAAAGAAGAAATACCAGTGTTAAAATGTTCTGTTACAACTAAAAGGCCTGCATTTAGAACTTCATTTAAGTAAAAGTACAAAACTATTAACATCAAAATATACTTTAAGTACCAAAAGTTGCATACCCTTTATGCAGAATGGCTCATTTCAAAATAACTGGATTTAAATGCATGATGTGTTTACTTTAATGCTGCAGCTGGTTAAAGTGGAGCTTATTTTTAATGGCTTTATATACTGCTTGGTAGTTGGTGCACAAGTTTTTATCATATCCTTATCTATTATAATACATCATGTATTATAATAGATAAGGATATACAGTACAGGCCAAAAGTTTGGACACACCTTCTCATTCAATGTGTTTTCTTTATTTTCATGACTATTTACATTGTAGATTCTCACTGAAGGCATCAAAACTATGAATGAACACATGTGGAGTTATGTACTTAACAAAAAAAGGTGAAATAACTGAAAACATGTTTTATATTCTAGTTTCTTCAAAATAGCCACCCTTTGCTCTGATTACTGCTTTGCACACTCTTGGCATTCTCTCCATGAGCTTCAAGAGGTAGTCACCTGAAATGGTTTCCACTTAACAGGTGTGCCTTATCAGGGTTAATTAGTGGAATTTCTTGCTTTATCAATGGGGTTGGGACCATCAGTTGTGTTGTGCAGAAGTCAGGTTAATACACAGCCGACAGCCCTATTGGACAACTGTTAAAATTCATATTATGGCAAGAACCAATCAGCTAACTAAAGAAAAACGAGTGGCCATCATTACTTTAAGAAATGAAGGTCAGTCAGTCCGGAAAATTGCAAAAACTTTAGATGTGTCCCCAAGTGGAGTCGCAAAAACCATCAAGCGCTACAACGAAACTGGCACACATGAGGACCGACCCAGGAAAGGAAGACCAAGAGTCACCTCTGCTTCTGAGGATTCATCCGAGTCACCAGCCTCAGAAATCACAAGTTAACAGCAGCTCAGATCAGAGACCAGATGAATTCCACACAGAGTTCTAGCAGCAGACCCATCTCTAGAACAACTGTTAAGAGGAGACTGCGCCAATCAGGCCTTCATGGTCAAATAGCTGCTAGGAAACCACTGCTAAGGAGAGGCAACAAGCAGAAGAGATTTGTTTGGGCCAAGAAACACAAGGAATGGACATTAGACCAGTGGAAATCTGTGCTTTGGTCTGATGAGTCCAAATTTGAGATCTTTGGTTCCAACCGCCGTGTCTTTGTGAGACGCAGAAAAGGTGAACGGATGGATTCCACATGCCTGGTTCCCACTGTGAAGCATGGAGGAGGAGGTGTGATGGTGTGGGGGTGTTTTGCTGGTGACACTGTTGGGGATTTATTCAAAATTGAAGGCACACTGAACCAGCATGGCTACCACAGCATCCTGCAGCGACATGCCATCCCATCCGGTTTGCGTTTAGTTGGACCATCATTTATTTTTCAACAGGACAATGACCCCAAACACACCTCCAGGCTGTGTAAGGGCTATTTGACCAAGAAGGAGAGTGATGGAGTGCTGCGGCAGATGACCTGGCCTCCACAGTCACCGGACCTGAACCCAATCCAGATGGTTTGGGGTGAGCTGGACCGCAGAGTGAAGGCAAAGGGGCCAACAAGTGCTAAACACCTCTGGGAACTCCTTCAAGACTGTTGGAAAACCATTTCAGGTGACTACCTCTTGAAGCTCATGGAGAGAATGCCAAGAGTGTGCAAAGCAGTAATCAGAGCAAAGGGTGGCTATTTTGAAGAAACTAGAATATAAAACATGTTTTCAGTTATTTCACCTTTTTTTGTTAAGTACATAACTCCACATGTGTTCATTCATAGTTTTGATGCCTTCAGTGAGAATCTACAATGTAAATAGTCATGAAAATAAAGAAAACGCATTGAATGAGAAGGAGTGTCCAAACTTTTGGCCTGTACTGTACATGTATTTGTTGATTATATTTTGCATCATTAGTCTTAATCCACAAAGTAACTACTAATTAAAATTGTATATAGTTGACTTAAAAGTACAATATTTGCTTCTTAAATGTAGTGAAGCAGAAGTATACATTATTAGAGGAGAACACTAAAGTAAGGTCCTCAAAACTGTACTTATGTTCACTATTTAAGTAAATGCACTTAAATACTTTCCACCACTACTACTTGTATCATCATATTGCGGCTTCTAAAGTTCAAATTAGCCGCCCACAGTTGACTGATTTGCAGGATGTTGCAGGATTGCAGGATTCCCCAAATAAACAGGCCTTTCTCAAAACTAAGTTCAGATCAGTGGGGTAGTAAACGACTTCATCAAACAACAAAAAACTAAGATTAAAAAAAATGGGCAGCGAGTTTCTCTTATCTCCTGTTACGGCGTCTGTGGGCGGCTACTTTTGAACTTATTTGGAAGCCGCAATAAAGTTAAAGATCTTAACCCCATGGCGTCTTCCACGCTCAACACTCACTGCAACACACCTGTCTTTAATTAAAGGTTCCCAAGATGCCGGGTCAGGTGGTGCATTAACGTGACTTAAAAAAATAATAGGAAACTAGGATTTGCTATAAATTACGGAAGCGTATTGCATTCACTTGACAAATAAAAAAAGCCCTGTTTTTCAGAGTAATTTTTTCTGTTTTTCTGAGTAATTTTTCCCTGTTTTTCGTGGTAATTTTTTTCTGTTTTTCTGAGTAATTTTTTCCCTGTTTTTCGTGGTAATTTTTTTCTGTTTTTCTGAGTAATTTTTTCTGTTTTTCTGAGTAATTTTTCCCTGTTTTTCGTGGTAATTTTTTTCTGTTTTTCTGAGTAATTTTCCCCCTGTTTTTCATGGTAATTTTTTTCTGTTTTTCGGGGTATTTTTTTTCCTGTTTTTTGTGGTAATTTTTTTTCTGTTTTTCTGAGTAATTTTTCCCTGTTTTTCGTGGTAATTTTTTCTGTTTTTCTGAGTAATTTTTCCCTGTTTTTCATGGTAATTTTTTTCTGTTTTTCGGGGTATTTTTTTTCCTGTTTTTTGTGGTAATTTTTTTTCTGTTTTTCGTGGTAATTTTTTTTCCTGAATGAGGAGACGAGATACTTCAAAATCTCGCGAGAAGCTCCCACCTGGCACATGCAAGTGATCTGCATGTATTTTGCATCCGTGCTCTTGCTCCTAGACAATTTCAACTACAGGATCAATAAGGGTAAGGCACATAATTAGTTACACACAGGGTATGATAATCTAGCTATGTTTTCCACTGCATCCTTCTAGTGTAGGCCTATCGCTCAGTGTAACAGGTTAGGTTAGTAACAGGTTGTAACAACGTTAGCTGACAAACGTGTATGGGCATGATTTCAGTTGTCAGCTAACATTGTTACAACCTGTTACTAACCTAACCTGTTACACTGAGTGAGCAGGAGTCACCATGGATGCAGGGGTCACTTGCAGGTGCCAGGTGGGAGCTTCTCGCGAGATTTTGAAGTATCTCGTCTCCTCGTTCAGGAAAAAAAATTACCCTGAAAAACAGAAAAAAATTACCACGAAAAACAGAAAAATAAATAAATTACTCAGAAAAACAGAAAAAAATTACCACGAAAAACAGAAAAATAAATAAATTACTCAGAAAAACAGGGCTTTTTTTATTTGTCAACTGAATGCAATACACTTCTGTAACAAATGGCTCCAACACATCATATTGCTCCTAGTCAGGCTGTTATACCGGGCCTTTCAGTCAAATATGCTACATATTTTTCTTAATATCACAGTGTATTGAACATTCCTACTAACACATGGAAATACTGCACTTATCCTTCATTAAATAGGATCTCACTGGAATTTTATCATGTGCCAATAACTTTAAAAAGGTAATGCGAACAGTAGAAGCGCAATTTTCTGGGGCTGCTGTGATCAAATATTTCAAGGAAAATGAAAATATACAGTGACTATTAACTAGTAAGAGTAATTTTACCCAGATGTGCAGATGACAAAGTCACTCTCCAGTATTGGAACAAAAGATAACCTGCAGTCACATCTTAAAGGTGAAGTAGAGGTGATGTGGAGGTGCCAATACTGAGGAGGCTGCAAGTTTTTCAACTGCAGTCATCCATCAAAGGGTCAAAGGTCACACATCAATTGCCACCTCCAGTGTCCTCACATCTTTACTGAAGTCTAACAGTCGCCAATATAAGAGCAGAGGTCCAAAATCTATCACCAGCTAAATGCTGTGTGTGGGTGTTGTGGCTGCCAGTGCCCTTCTCTATGAGCTGCACAAGCACTAAAGTGATTTTATTGATTTTCTGATTTTTCTTTTGCTGCCAGCTTATCAGTACTGATGCACAGTACACGTGTTTCAGTCACAAGTACTGTGGCTGTGCTCTGTCGCCTCCTCACCTTAGCTGCACTGATCTGTTCTTTCCTGAACCGCTCCAGAGGCATAATCAGCACATCATTGGCGTTCTCGATCTGGGGGCAAAAAGACACACAAACCAAAGCTACTATATGATGCTGGGCATGGAATAGTTTTCTAGGAATGACAAAGGCCTTTATATAGTAATAATAATAATAATGCAAAAACATACTCTCCATCCACAGCCAGTACAAGTAGTTATGTCACTCACCATCCGTGTCCTCTCATCCTCCAGGTTCTGTAGCACCGCTGCAAACTCCTGAAGAGACTTGGCTGAGGACAGACATGTTGGTCAACAGACAGAGACATAACAGACAAGAGATAATTAGAAAGAGAGACAGAGACAAAGTTATTAGTTATGTCAAACAATTATCATGAGAAACACACAAGTACAGGCAAACAGAAAGAGGGAGAGTGTTTGAAGAGAGCTGGCACGAGGTGGTGGGGATGAAGCTTTGTTTCTGCTCTTGGACCTCATACAAATGTTTCTAAAGTCATGACACAGCAGAGTAATTAACTGGAAATGAAACCGCAATTTAGATGGTCTGTTTCTATGGTGCTTTCACAGTGAGCACAGCTCAGTGCTTGTTTCCCCGCTCGCTGGCAAGCGAGGACTGGCTACATTGTTTTATGTCAGAGTTTCCACTTCAATTGCCTCCGTCCCTGTCCAACACTTCACACGCACGCACACACTTAAACCCTCAGACACAGCGAGTGCACATAACATACTCAACACGTGCAGTATGTGCACAGGGAAATCACACATGCATGCACATACACAGTGTATTCCTACTCATCACGACACACACTCACTCTGCTTTTCAAAATCAGACTTCAAGTAACAGGATTTGGCTCTTGGAAGTTAGATCCAACTAAAAGGGAGAAGAACCTCAGGACTATGTGAGGAATGCATTAAAACAAAGTGTGCGATGGTTTAATAAAGCTTATAAACCTCTCAGTAAGCTCAATCACATTCTTTATCAATCACATAGAGCTAAGCTATTCTTCCATTGCATTTTATTTAATGAAAGTATGATCTTTAGACTGATATCCTGTAGAGCCGTTTGAAGTGAAATCATCACTGTACCGGAGAGAAGGAACGAGTTTGGACACGAGTATAACTAAGAATATCCTAAGAACAACAGTTCCACAGTGCAGCCCAGTTGAGCGGCAAGCTGTTCAGGAAAGATAGCTGGGGTTAGTTAAACAACAGTAGTGGGTGGGACAGGCCAGTGAGAAGCTGCAGCCTGCACAGACAGAGCCAGGCAGCACGGGAGGGTGTGGTGACTGCTGCATGTTTCACAGCGGGCTGCTTGGACGGTGATAGAAAGAGCACTGAGGGGCCTAGATGAGTTCATGGAATAAAGGATTATATTCTCACGTACTGTAGACTACACCACAGTTTTATACAACATTCTAATGTGAGTTTAACACTAGTTGGGGAGCAACATAAACAGGCTTTACATGTCACTTCAAGTACAATACTTTATCATGTCTTTATTATAGAGGATGAGGCAACACTGACACTGTAATCATGACTGTATATCTTTTGTATATGGAGCTTTTATTGAGCTGAAATCTGCACTGTAAACTGGACTGTAAAGCTCATGTTATCCACACAATGGATGTGCCTGATGCTACTGGAAAAATCTAGTTATTGATTGTTAGCACATCACATAATGACAACAGAAGAATGAAAAGAGGAGAGTGAGGATTAGGCTCCTGCATATTTTGACCGGCTACAGCTTCTGTGACCCCGTGAGAGGTTCTTTTCTGATAATGATATAGTTTATATTATGTTGAGGATTCTAACAAGGAAATAAAATTAAATAAATAAAACAAAGGAAGATTAATAGTGACAACTAAAGATGATAAAGCACCAAAACGGCTGCAAATTCAAATAACAAATCAAATGATCACAGTATTAAGTTCATAGTTGATGAAGAATAAGTTTTACTTTGACTGTTCATTAGTTGCTGTTTTAAATGAAAAGTGATCGTCCTTTTTTACCCCCATTTAGGCACCAAAGTCAAAATATGATAATGATTGTTATAGCTTCCTGTGCAATAGCACTTAGCATCAAGCTGGCCTTTAATTTTTGATTTCAGCGACTATAAATGACAGCGTTTTGTCTCCCGTCTCTTTACAGGCTGTCCCCTCTGTCGCTACAGGGAGTATATAGGATTTCATATCAGCAAGCTCACCTATGCATATCTCATCATCCGTCTCAGCGTCTCCAATACACTGGAATTTAAACTCATTGAGCGAGTCGGCGAACTTCCTCTTGGCCGTTGACAGACCTGAGAGAAAGAGAGAAGAGAAGAGACAGTGAGGTTTACTGACATCTTATTTCAGCAGTGAGGACCATATAAAGCATCACATATTACTTTTAAGTTTGGTTTGCTGTCCTAAAAACATGTAATGAGCCCCTGAAAGTGGATATCAATCTCTAGTTCTGATTAGACTTATTTTATAACATGCTGTTAGTAAAAGTGAGAGTGAGCGGAGGGAGGCTCAATGCAGACAGGCGGATACTCTGAGTGGATCCCCAGTGGTGTTAGTGATGAAGGTCAAAAGCTCTTACATTTGTGTGGAGTTTTTGTGTCTGTGCATGTGTGTGTGTGTGTGTGCTAACAAGTGCAAAAGTTCCATTAAACTTAAGTCACATCAGCCAAGTGAGGCGGTGAAAAGCGCCGGACAGATGGATGCCTTTCAAATAATACATGAGGCGCTAAGAGCTCCTAGGAGACAGACACTCACGGCGAGTTTGGCTTCCCGTCTATTTAAACTCAAGACAGGGTCACCTTCACAGCCATATTTCCTGTTGCCGCATTGGCCGAGGTCAGCCGCATATGCATGATTGGAGGGAAAGAGACACTTCTCATAACTTTCTGAGAAACTGCACATATTGAGGAACGACACACTGCGACTAGGAACTGCATGTTATCCTGAGTTAGAGGAATTTGAAAATGCTCATATCCTCTACTGATGCCTTCCTTTACTTTCATGGTCAAAGAAATAGACGAATACTGTAACTATGATGTGGTCTGCCTCAGCAGGGATCTCCAACTTCTCCAAAGAGAGGACAGAAACTATGCAAAACACACACACCAGCCAGTTTTACAAACTACTGATGGAAGTTAAAATAAAGACAAGGATGCAGAGAAATGAAGAGGGAAGAGAGATCAAGAGTCTCATGGAAAGACGGATGGGAGTCAGGGAAAGGACAGTGAGTGTAGAGAGACAAGACAGACAGAGTGTAATTGACCATGTTCATGTAAATACCACACCATGCAGATATCTTTGTGTGTGTGTGTGTGTGTGTGTGTGTGTGTGTGTGTGTGTGTGTTTGGAAAGATCTACTGCAGCTTGCCAATCGGCAAAATGAAACACAGACCTAGGCGCTCCTGCATGTTCTGCCAGAAACACACACGCTGGCAGACACAAATGCACACACACGCACACACACACACACACACACACACACACACACACACACACCATCTCTCCTGGGATAAACTCTGTAAAACACACAGTCACAGCGGCTCTGTAGCGTCAAAATAACTTAAGTATGACCGAACTGAGACCACACTCTGACCTTGGAGGATAAACTGCGGCTTTACAGTGCCAGTGTCCAGTGGAGTAAAGAAATACTACTAGTTCTTCTCGTCCGTCCCCTGGTACCCTGTGTACTGTCACAATTAATTCAAAAGTAGTAGCTCTAAAATAAAAATTATAACAAAGTTGGAGAGCAAAAAAACTTAAGTGAGATACATTACAATGAACTGTGCTGGAGATTACAAATCCAAGTTTAACAGTTTAAAAAGAGGTTAATAATGCGACTAAATGTCATTATAAATAAGTTGCAATAATATAAATACCAACAAAAACCTGTTTATTATATTGCTAAAACCTTATCTGAAACAGGTCTTACATCTAATAGAAGACATGGATATTGAAGACTTATGAAATGAGGCCAACAGCAAATGGTCATGACCCTTTTACAGTCACTTGTGTCTTTCCCACCATTGAGCGAATGAAAACGTGTCGAGGTTAGAGACGGCACGGCGTTTCTGCTTAAAAGGAAAGTTACAGCCGACTCTTTGAAGCCGCTGTGTGTGCATGCACAGCTTTGAAAGCCAGAAATGTCAGCACCTGGCAAATTCATCTGTGAGATATGAGGAGTGACTCAACAGCAACAGTGAGAGCTCTGCAGAAATATCAGGGTGTTTTTGTGCTGTTCCTGATGATAATTCATTGGCAGTGACTGTGGAGAGAGTAGGGAACCATTATTTTGCATGTTATCAAAACACTGTGGAGCACTAAAGTGGCAATCAACCCAAAATCCTTTGTCAAATCAGCTACCATGAAGAGTTATATTAGCTGATAAGGTTTCATGAACCTGTGTGACCCCAGTGCGACTGATGTCATGCTATGTGTCCACTGAGCTACACACAGCTGTATCTCTTTCTACACCGTCCTCCTCACTCTTGCTTCCCTGCTCTCTATTTATTTTTGGCCCTTGCCTCCCTTCTCTCTCCTTTCTGCCACTGACAGCTCCTCTCAGCACCTTGTGAGTGAAACGTGCCTGTCGTTGTTAATTTCTTCATGCTGGCTCCTGCCACACTCCTCGTGCTCCCTTTCATAAACATCAAAACCAGCCACAGACCGAGGAGTAGGAAAACAGACGGGCATTTTAAAAAAAAGCACAGCCTCAGATACACTTACATACGCTGTTAGATGAGTATCAGTCATGCACTTCTACTTCATTTTGCCATTTCATACATTTTGTTCTGCCAACAGCACTTGGTTTCAGTTGAACATTATGTTGCTAGTAGCAACCATTACTGGCAGTTTTATAACAGTTTAACTGACATTGTTACATCCACCATTTTGTCAGATGAGTGCTGACTGGCATTTTTTATCTACTGCGCAAATGCTCTTGTTGGAGCATTATTTGTAGACACTCCTTCTATTATCTCTGCCAGGCATGAGTGGATCATGCCTTCAGCTGTATGTGTTCATGTGTGTATCTTTCTGTCCTAAGCTAATCTCTCATACTACTGGACCAATCAGCCTAATATGCTCAAACACCTCACATGGTTGCAGTGATTCACAAGTTTTGAAAAACCTGTTTTATTGATTGGTCTGTTTTATAGCATCATTGACTGCTGACTCCTCACTCCTTCTAACCTTGCGGCTGGCAGGGGCCGTGAGTGTTCAACACATTCACATAGCCAAAACGCATTTCCCACAATCAGCTAGGCGACAACAAGTCTTACTTTTCTGTACCAGGCAACATTTTAGCCTTTATTGTGGTTTAAAAACGTACATTCATAGAAAAGTCTGGCCGCATCTTGGAGCAACTGGAGTATCTGCAAATTAATTCCATGCCCAATATGGTAAGATTCACTAAAATTAGGCATGTTATGAGATAAATAACTAACTTAGTTTTCAGGGTGCTGGGAGAGTGAACTGAATGAGACTCTTCTTTGTTTGAGAGGGCAAATAGAGGTAGAGGTTTCTCTCATCAAGCATGTCTATCACCTTGATAATCTAACCTGCATTTGTCTCTCTTTTCATTCCACTCTTCACTCTCTTTCAGGCACACTCGCTGGACGCACAGCCTGCCTTGCACTCCCTGTTTCCCAACCACATGCTCCCAGACACACCTGGCAGAGATCTACAATCTGCTGAGTGCACTTTACTAGTTACAGCTGTTTTGTGATCTGGTAGAATTTAGTTTTCATATGATCAGCCTTTTGCTAACCAAGCTGGCCACCATACAAAGTGTCTGGAGCTAATGTGTTGCTAATGTAACATTGTAGGGAACAGCTGAATTAAAAGTACTGTTGGGACAACCACTGTGTATCTTGTTTAAACAATTAATTACTGTGTTATGCATCCTGTTAGGACTAAATAATGTTTCACTGGCGACATTTTGTTTCTTGACATGAAGCACATTGTAACAGCATGACTGCTACTCTGTACTTTTGTGAATCCAGTCTTGGTTACCATATTCATTTTGATCTAACTCTTGTTTATGGAAACATTTTCTGATTTCTGATCACTCTCATGAAATTTGATGTCCTATTCTGTTTTCACAGTTCTACTACTGCTTCCAGAAAAACCTCAAAGGCAATCTGTGTCTTCAACCTATATTACCTCCACTAAGGAGATAACTTCAGTAATATAGGTTGGTCGGTTTGTTTGTCAGCAGGATTACGGAAAAACTACAGGCCTGAAATTCATAAAACTTGTTGGAAGGGTGTAGAAGGGGCCAGAAAAGAAACCATTAAATTTCACAGCAAATTCGAGTCACAGGGCAGATAAACAAATTATATTTCATTTTAGTCAACATTGTAAGATCGGGCATTTGGGGACAAACTCTAACTCACTGGGTAGAGCGTGTGCCCTACAGTGTATACAGACTCTTACTTAGCTGCGACCCAAGTTCGATTCCAACCTGTGGCCCTTTGCTGCATGTCATCCATCCTCTCTCTCCCAACCAGTTTTGAGCTGTACTATCAATTAAGGCATAAAAACGCCTGAAAAAATATATCTAAAAAAAAAAAGAAAAGAGATAGGTCATTTGGCATTGGCAGAGGTCTGTGCCAGTCTAGCTGGAAGTGTGTTTAGCTTGCTGCATATCTGTCCACCTACATGTATTGTGAGGACAAAAGACTTTCCAAAATGCCTTTGGTCAGACAGTCAGTATGAACTTTTGGCAGGACAGAGCAACAGTTGAGAGGTTTTTCATTTGGTAAATACTTTCATAAAATCATGAGATCTATTGAGTCTGTTGGACACAGAAACATGGATGTAGAACCTGTGATTACACCCATGTCTGAAGACCTTATGCCTTAATAGCTAATCGAGCAATGGTTTCACAACTGCCATCAAGGCCTGAATTAGAAGACTTGAAATTAGCTGAAATATATAAAGAATAGGAGGTTTAGGGGCTTGGTTTGCCAAGACATTTTTAACACAGTTATGGAAAATAAACAAACAAGCTGTTGTGTGTTTGTTTTAGTGAAGCCAGAATCCTGTGTCACTACAGAAACTGCTTTTTAAAATGACATCTACAGTGGCGTTAACATGCAGACATGGTGACTGCTGCTTGACTGTGAGCGGAAAAATTCTTCTGTGATGAATTTCTTCCTGTATAACCTTCAAACATCCGTCTGAAATGTTAAGTTTATAGAGAAGCCCCTCCTCTGATTCTGTGGGACTCACCCCTGTAAGTGATTGTCACTGATGTTTCAGACAAACCCTCAATGCACCCAGAAATGCAGAGTAC